ATTCCAGCCTGTGGGCTGGAGGGGCCCCAACTCCTGCCCTAAGAACCAGGGTTTAGGGTGAGACCTCCCCGGCACACCCCCCAGTCCCGCACACCTTCCTAGCACACCCTCTCAGGTCAGCACCTTCCAGCCCAGCACACCCAACCCTGTGTAAAATGACAGTTCCTGGCGGGCACCACTGAGAAGGTCAAATGAGGGTGAATTGCTTAGAAACAGGGCTACTTACAGTCCAAGACTGGGGGTCCTTCACTATAAGTCACACCAAACCAGTCACAAAGAATACTTCAGGTGCCACAGGGGTCAGCAAGAAGTCATACAAGCAATCCCCTAACACTCCAGCTTTCCTGTGCTACAACCAGCACCACACCTTACTCAGATTAGAGCAATGGTCTCCAACCTTTTTACACCCAAGATCACTTTTTAAATCTCAGAACAGGCAAAGATCTACCACCCTGCCCCTTCCTTGAAGCCCCACCCCTTCCTTGAAGCCCCATCCTCTCTATTCTCCTCCTGTCCATCACTTGCTATCCCTAGCCCTTACTTACACACTCTGATAAAGTTTATTTTTAAATTATGTGATATATAAAATTGAAATCACGTGTTTATAGTTATGAAATAAATGGTCTGTTTTTTATTCATGCTATTTAAATCTAAAATGAAGCATTTATAATTATACATTTTGTGGGGACAGAGTTCTGCGGCTGGGGGCAGGGGAGAGGGAACAGGGTGCTGGGAGGGCAGGGTGCTGGGAGGACAGGGCTCTGCAGCAGGGAACAGAATGGGGACAGGTTTCTGCAGCTGGGGACAGGGTTCGGAGAATGGGGACGGGAGTGGGGACAGAGTTCTGTAGCTGGGGACGGGAGTGGGGACAGAGGGCGGGGTGCCAGTGGCAGCAGAGAGTCCCCTGCATCTGCCTCCTCCCAGGACTGTCCTCCCTCCCCCCCCAGAGGGAAGCCAGCACGTGCCTCCTCCAGGCCCGACTCCTCACTCCACCCCCGCAGTGCAGGGAAACCCCGTGCGTGCCTGCCCCGTGGCCAACCCCTCCCCTGCAGCGGGGCCAAACCCCTGCGGGAGCCTGCCCCAGGGCCAAACCCCCTCTCCCGCAGCGCGACCCGGCCAACCCCCTCCCCTCCCGCATCTCCCGCGGCGGGGCCAAACCCCCGTCGGCGCCTTCCTCGGGGTCAAACCCCCTCAGGAGCCTCCCCAGGCTAAGCCCCAGGGCCTACCCCCGCTCCCGCAGCGCAGGGAAATCCCTGCGCTCAACTCATCCCTCCCAGGGAAACCACCGGACTCCTCTTCTGGAGCCAACGCCCCCTCCCCCAGCACGTGACAGAGCTGTGGGAAGGGAGCAGCCTGCACCACTTCCAGAGCCCCCGGAAGTGACGTGGGCTTCACCCAGGACTTCCGTCCACCCCGCAGGAAGCCAGCAGTACACTAGAGGTAGGTAGTGGGGCTTCTCAGGGGTGGGAGGAAAATGCGGGCTGGAGGTGCCCGAACGCCTCGCGATCGACTGGACGAGGGTCGATTGCGATCGACGGGTTGGTGACCACGGGATTAGAGACTATGAAAACCAATCTCACCACATCTGAACAGGTTCTTCCAATCCCAAAGGATTGGGTCAGGTCAGTTTATACCTTAGATCAGGGGTCAGCTACCTTTTAAAACCAAAGAGCCAAACAATATCAAATTTCAGAACAAGTGGTCAACAAAGAGCCATATAAGAATGCCCATTTGCATGACTGAAAATATATAACTTAATATTCTTCTTCGAGTGATGTCCCTGTGGGTGCTCCACTGTGGGTACTGGTGCATTCTTGTGCCAGTGATCAGAGATTTTTCCAGCAGTACCCAGCTGCGCTGCGTACGCGCTCTGGTGCCTCCTCGGGCTGTTGGTGTCCGTTAGACACGTGCACAGCACAGCCCCCTCAGTTCCTTCTCTACCTCAGTGGCAAATGAAACTACTTCTCTTGCCCCTGTTCTGACAAAAAAAAAACACAAAGAAGTACTAATTCTTCTCAGTTTTCCTCATCTTTCCAAGTTTTTAGTCCTTCCCAACCTTATGCCAAAAAATTTTTTTCTTCATCGTTCACCTGGACTGCATTTCTCCTCGTGCCTGCATCCCCAGGCTTCAAACATTGTGAGTCCTGCCGAGATGCTATGCCTGTTTCCAACCATCATGCCTCATACATAAAATCTCTGAGAGATATCCATCAGACACAGAAGTGTTCCCACTGTTCAAATCTTATAGCGAGAGCACACCACAACCATGCCTATAGGCTGAAAACATATTTCTACGAAAAGTTGCTTCAGCCACTGTGTGAAGACTCGCCTTCCAGGCCAAAATCATCAAGTAAGCTGAAAGGTATGAACAAAGTTCATCCCTCTACTCTTCTGGCAAGCCAAAGTAAAAAATCCAGGTGTCTCCGGTCAGATCGCTACCCCTGGTACCTAGCTTGACGAGGGTGAGCATCAGAGATAGGCCTGGTGCTTCTGGCACAGCTCTCTGTTTAAAGCATCAGCACCACACAAGAGGGCCCAATCTGAGCCCAGATAAAAACAATCGAAACCAGCAGCAACGACCGTACCGGCTGAATCCACCACGTCAAGGCACAGATTGGCACTGAAGGCGGTCCTGAATGCGGCACGCAAAAGACCCCGTACCGACATGCCTCCTCCTGAACAATTGTCCCCAATGGCATCAGCAGCACTGAGCACTACACACGGTTCACCTCCACCTACCTGCACTGCCATCTCCATACTCATTGGTGTGGTCCATTCACACACAGAGATCATTAATTCCATCAATCTCCCCCAGTGAAGCCAGTAGTGGACTACATGGACACTTCTCATTGAAGCACTCTAGTCCAACTCAACGATACCCACTTTGGGTGTCTTGCTCTGCCACATACGCTCACCTGCCTCCACCACCAGCTTGGCATTCATACCACTATCCATACCCACTGCCCCCCTGTCCTGGGCAGTGGCATCCCTGGGACTCAGGGCCTTCTAATAAGGGCCATCACATGGCGTCCTCAACAACATCCAGAACACTATCTCAGTTTCCCCAACCCTCGCTATCAGCTGCAACATCAACTCTCCCAGAGCCCATCCAAACTGATATGGACAATCCTCTATCCAAAGAGGAAGACAGGTCCCCCCTACACAATTCCTCCTCTTCTCTGGACAAGGCTATTATTTCTAACACCCCCACCTCTAAGCAGTTTCAATAACTTTTTTAAAGAGTTGCTCTGGCGCAAGAATGGGACCTGCAGGAGGTCCAGGAGAAACAATATTGCCTCTTGTGCACCTTACAGCCCCCTGCATCCTCTAGGATCACCCTCCCCATGGATGAACCCATTATGGACCCCACCGATAACATCTGGCAAACCCCAGCATCCATTACCCCCACCAATAAGAGGGCAGACCGCAAATATTTTGTAACACTGAAGGGCTTCCTCTTTACACACTCTCCCCCAAACTCCTTAATGGTCGTCTCAATCAGACAAAGAGCAAGACAGCCCAACATGAGGTCCACACCACAGGATAAAAATCATAAATGAATAGACATCATGGAGCGCAATGTCTATTCTTCAGCCAACTTGATCTTTAGAGCAGCAAATTACACTGCGATGCTGGCCAATTATTACTCCAACTATTCTGAACTCCAGGAGTTTTTACAGTTTCTGCCTGAGCACAAGAGGTCGATCTAGTTCAATGTCATGCAGGAAGGGCATGCCATCTCCCGCATGGCATTACAATCTGCCATGGACATGGCCAACACTGTTGCTTGCATCTCAGACTCAGCTACCGTGGTCGCAAAGAGGTTTATGTCTGATTGTCCCCATTGAAGAAAAATGTGATTGAGGGCTTGGGCATCAATTTCCCATTTATGATGGTCATAGAAATTAAGCCGCATGCTCATCCATGCCACATGCTCATCCATCCCAAGCCGCATGCTCATCCATCCCAAGCTGCATGCTCATCCATCCCAAGCTGCATAGCATACCCTCAACATCCCAAGAGCACTCATGTTCTACATAGATTGAACAAAATCATGGAGAATATCCCCCAGACTCTTCTTATCCTATGCTGAACATTCCAGGGGCCAAGTGGTCTCCTCCCAGAGGATTTCTGAGTGGATCTTATCATGTATCCACTAGGGCTATCAACTGATGTGCATTAACGACTGTGATTTAATGCAGGGCAGGATTAACATGTTAATTTTTTTAATGTGTTAATCGCAGGCATTAATGCTGCACTGCCGCTTTGAAGTGCCGCTCTGGCACCTCAAAGGGGCAGCGCATTAGGAGCCTGGGATCAGCTGGAGGTCCCAGCTGACCCCGGGCTCTGTGCAGCACTGCCCCTTTGAAGCGCCGGAGCGGCACTTCAAAGGGGCTGCACAACACGGAGCCAGGGATCAGCTGGGCACTCCAGCAGATCTCAGGCTCCTAATGTGTTGCCCCTTTGAGGCCCCAGGGTGGCATTTCCAAGGGGCAGTGCAATGCGGAGCCCGGGATCAGCTGGAGTGCCCAGCTGATCCCCAGCTCCGCGTTGCGCTACCCCTTGGAAATGCCACCCCAAACACTTCAAAGGGGCAGCACTGCACGGAGCCTGGGGTCAGCTGGGGACTCCAGCTACTCCCAGGCTCCCACAGTGCTGTCCCTTGGAAATGCAGGGGCAGTGCTGCACAGAGCTGGAATCAGAGGGGGACTCCAGCTGATCCCGGGCTTCTGCAACGCTGCCCCTTTGAAACGCCACTGCAGCATTTCAAAGGGGCAGCACATACGTTTAATCATTATTAATTTTTTTAATCACGTGATTAATCGTGATTCATTTTTTTAATCACTTGATAACCCTAGTATCCACACGTTACATCATCCATAACAAACCACCACCAGGCACTATCACTGCCCACTCAACCTGGGCCATGACCTCCATAACTGTCTTTCTCAAAAATGTATCTCTGGAGGACATTTGCAAAGCAACCAACTGGTCATCCGACCACACATTTGCAAAACACTGTGCGCTTATCTCAGCCATTGCATCATCTATGACTGTTGGACTGTTGCTCAGGGTTGGTGTAGGAGGGTGCAGGAGTGTTATGATGCTGTGGCCATAGGGAGTTGGGCCCTAATTGGGGGCCTTTTGGCCAGACTTCATTTTTAAATAAAGTAAAATATTATGTCCAACACAAAAGGTTTCAATGTTGTCTTTATTTATGGAAGGAGTGGGGAACCTTTTTTGGGGACCACACAAGTGAGAAGCAAAAAAAAAAAATAATCTCCATACCCTCCCCCCAGCTCACTGATGTGACCCTCAGCTGAAACACCTTACTCCCCTTGTGCTTCAGCCCCACCCGATAGTCGGGGAAGGGGCAGGAAGGATTGAGATTCAAGGCTTCAGGCCAGATTTACTCTTCTAGGATTCCAGGGTTAGTGGCTTTTGTGGGCCCCCCCCCAGACTGGTTTGGGGCCAAAATTAAGGGTTAAGTGTGTGGGACAGTGCTGCCAATGAATGAGATAGGGATGGGAGTGTAGGATCTAAGCGGGAAGTGGGGTGTAAGATGAGGTGTGAGTGCGAGGTCTGGCCAGGGGACAGGAGCAGGCTGAGGGCTGGCTGCCTGGCCAGGAGTCTGGGGATAGGGGGTGTCTGGCCAGAAGGCAGGGGGGATTTTGGTCTGGGGACACGGGGTGTCTGAGCAGAGAGCAGAGGGTGTCTGGCCAGGGGGCAGGCTGTCTGGCTGGGGAGGATGAGTGATGGGATGGAAGTCTGGGCAGGAGGGGGTAAGGAACATGTACTTGTTTTCGCACCACATGGCAGGCACCATGTAACATGCCTCCCACTGCTCCCATTCCCTGGCAGGAAGCCTCTAGGAAGGAGGGGAACAAAAGTAGCAGTGCACAGGGAGCCATTTTTGGCTACTTGTTTCCCTCATTGGGGGAGGGGAGGAAGGAGAACACTGTTGTGCTGAGCCATTTTTAGCTCTGCTTGTTCCCTGCATGCTGGATCCAGCAGGGAGGCTCAAGGCTTTCTCCCCTCCCTCCCCCTGCAGGAAGCCAGCACTAGCATTCCAACCTTGCGAGGGTGAGCTGTAAGGCTGTAGCACCAGCACTGGGTCCCTACTGTGGGGAAAGAGAGGGGCTGAGTTGGGGCTCCAGAAAAGCCACAAGCCATAGGTTGCTGACCCCTGCCTTAGATCTTACTCATAAAGGATGCAGTGCCAATCCTTTAGAACTGAAAATCTAAAGGTTTATTAGTAAAAGAAAGAACTAAAAGGTTGAAAGTAGAATTGTTAAAGAAATTACATTACATGTACCAATCACAAAGCTCCTGGTGTAGGTTCTTAGTAGAGATGGAATAAACTGCTATCTTAAAAGTCTCTTGAAATACATCTTTTGTTAGGATGGGTCATCAGTCCTTCCAGGCCCTTTGTTCATACAAAGCTGCTTCTGAAGTGATGAGCTTGCATGAAGACAAAGATGGAGGAACCCCTAAGAGCCTTTTTATAATCTTGCCCATGTGGAGTGAATTCCATTGTTCTCTCTTTTTGAAGGTACCTCCCAAAATGGAGTTTGTCACATGAGTAAGTCACCTGTCCATGTCCTTTTCAGGTAAATGGCCATGGGATACCTGTTTGCAGGTCTACAGCAGAATTCCTCAGATGTGTATTGGCAACACTTAAGGTTAATTGTTTGTCCAGTACTGCTATTCACTCAGTAGCCACCCTTCACAGTATGTTGGATAGTAACAGAGAGGTAGCCCTGTTAGTCTGATCTTGGTAAAACAAAAAAAGCAGTTATGTAGCACTTTAAAGACTAACAAGATAGTTTATTACCAGTACATAGCCAATACTAACAACTTTAAATATTAAAATTGTACATGCACATGGATAGTATAAACAGACTCAGCAAAGCATAAACTTTCAATACATACCTCACTTGGCCCATTTTGTACAAAATTTGGGGCAAACATACCACAGTGCGTGCAACAGTGATCTGCATGTTTATATTAAAAATGCAGTTACATCACACCCTGCAACCCTGTCCTACATTTTCCTACCCTCTTCTCCTCCTACCCCACCCCCAGCCCAGCACACCCTGCTCTCCACTTCCCTAGCCCAGCACACCCCATCCTGCACCTCTCCCAATTCTCCTGGCCTGGCATCTCCCCACTCCACTCCACTTCCCTGGCCCAACTGGCCAGGGAACAGGGGCAAGATCCTGGGGAGAATGAAAGGGACTAGATCCTGGGAAGGCCTGGGCCTGGCCAGTCAGGAGACCCCAAGTTGTAAGATCCTGGGGAGACTTTGGACCCAGCCAGCTGGGGGACCCAGGGAGTATCCCGGGGAGGGACATGGGATCCAGGGAGGATCTGGGCATGGTGAAAGACCCTGTCATCTGGGAGACCATCTCTCCCCTGTGCTTGCTGATAGGGAATTGGGTGTTCCTGGCCAACTGCCACCTCTCGCTGTCCTGGATGCCACAGCTGGACAAGCTGGTGGACCAGCTGCAGGTGGAGGATCCACATCCAGCCTTCCGCCTCTGGCTTAGCTCCAGTCCCAACCCTGATTTCCCCATCTCCATCCTGCAAGCCAGCATCAAGATGACGACGGAACCCCCCACGGTGAGAGGTGCCCACCCTGTCCTACTCTGCCACATGCCCCTCACTCTGGCAGGTTGGGGGGAAGCTGTGTGCCCTTGCTGAGCCTATTCCCCTCTCCATGGCAGGGTCTCAAGGCTAACATGAAGCGCCTGTACCAGCTGATCACGGAGCCGCAATTCGGACGCTGCACCAAGCCAGCCAAGTACAAGAAGCTGCTCTTCGCCCTCTGCTTCTTCCACAGTGTACTGCTGGAGCGCAAGAAATTTCTGCAGCTCGGCTGGAATGTGGTCTACGGCTTCAATGACTCTGACTTTGAGGTGGGCAGGGATACTGGGCATGGGGATGCTATCCCATAATGGACAAAACCAGACCCTACAACAACAACCACCCACAAGATAATTCCCCCATCAGACCTTCAAAACAACTTCTCAGGTATTCCCCCTGTCAGAACCTATGACAACAGCTCCATTGGTGCCCCCCATATCTTACCCTGGAACAACAGTTCCCCTGGTTTTTTCCCCATCAGAGCCTACAACACCCTTCTTTGGGTGTTCACCCATTAGACCCTCCAATAACGATCCCCCAGGTGTTCTCCCATCACATGCTACAACAACAAACTCCCATGTGTTCCCCCATCAGACTCACAATACCAAATCCTCTGGGTGTTCTTCCATCACATGCCACAACAGCAAATCCTGGAGTATTTGTCCATCAAACCCAACAGCAACAAGCCTCTGGTTGTTGCCCAATTGGATCCTAGAACAACACCCATCAAAGGCTAGAAAAACAAACCCAGGTGTGCTCCCTGTCAGAGCCCCCCACAGGTGTTCACCCATCAGACCCTACAATAACAAACCCTTGGATGTTCTCTTATCAGCCCCACAACAACAAACTCCAGAGTGTTTCACTGTCAGACCCTACAATAATTCCCATAGTGTTCCCCCATCACACACCATAACAAACCTCTGGGTGTCCCCATAGCAAGAAACCACCAGGTTTTTCCCAGTAAGACTTTACAATAACAACCTCCCCAGGTGTTCCCCTGTCAGATCTTACAAAAACAAACCCCGGAGTGTTATTCCAACATATCCAACAGCAGGGGTCTCATACTCTATCTTAGGGCCAATACCAGTCCTCAAATCCTCCTAGTGGGCCAACAGGAACCCCCTCTGGCAGGGCTCTAGGGAGAAGAGTGAGGGTCTCCACACATCTGGCCCCATCTGTGCATTCTGTCCCATGGGAGCTTGAGGGAAAGGGTGCAGTGGGGAGCAGAGGATGGGAAGAAGTAGGGCAGGGCAGGACTTGGAGAAGGTCATGTACGCCCCCCTCTCAGGGACACAAGAACACATATGCCAGCAGCCATGCATAGACCTGATTGTGGAACTGCTTGGGCCATAGATGGCCTGCAGATGGTGAGTTCCTCTGTCAAAGTCTGCAACCCTCTCCCCTGGTGTCCACCCATCGGTCTACATTACCTCCACAGATGTTCCCTGTCACACCACACAAGAACAAACCCCTGGATGTTCCCCCAACAGCCTCACAACAACAAACTCTGGGTTCTTCTTCGAGTGATGTCCCCATAGGTGCTCCACTGTTGGTGTCAGGCTTGTCCCAGCACTGCAGATCAGAGATTTTTCTAGCAGTGTTTGGCCGGCCCATATATCCATGGCAGAGGAACGTGCCATTCTCATCTTGCAGTTCATGTGCATGGCCCATGTGCCCTCAGTTCGTTTGTTACCACCCTCAGTCACAGATGGAGCTCGACTCCTCTCCTTCCTTGCGATTCCTAAAATTAACATTTTAGTTAGAATTAGTTGTTTTAAAGTTCATAGTCGTCATTACTACATAGTTGTTAGTTGTTACAAAAAAAAATTTTTTTTCTGTAAATATTTGCCTCGGTGTTTCTGAGGTGGCCTCCGGAGGCAGCCCCTTCAACCTTCATATTAAAAAATTTAAAAAAAAAGAAGAGAGCAAAAGAGTGAGAAGAAAGAAAGACTCATGGACAAGGAGCCCAGATCCCCGGGTTTGAAGAAATGAGAAAAATGCCATGACCCAATGCCCGCCTCAGATGGCCACGGGTCTTACATACTCTCTCTCGGTGAGGCCCATGTTCCCCAGAAATGCATATACTACCGAAGCCTCACCCCCAGTACCCACAATGATAGGGAACTGAGGCTGCGTGTGCTGCTTTTTGACAAGGCTCTGGAGCCCCAAACCAGCGGGGACGAACGCAACCAGTCTGACAAGACTAACAGGCAGACTATGGACTTGGAGCCCTCGCCACCCATGTCTACACTACTTCCAAAAGTGAGTAAGGGGGACAAGCTGGGCACCTCAGGCACTGGATGCCCCCATGCCACATCAATAGCGCACTCAAAACTGCGCACCACCCAGAAATCGGTACCGTCCCATTCGGCACCAAAAAAGGCAGGTACCAGGGAACCAGATAGTTTCTCTGCACCAGAAACACAGTTGGTGCTAGATAAGACCTCGGCACTGGCAAAAGCAAAATCTAAATCTGCTAAGCCCTTGCCTCACACACCAAGCCCAGAACCACAGCCATCTCCACCAGTACCGATGCTCCCACCATCGGCATTGAGTTCTGCGGCACTGCAGGATCTTTCCTCTGACCACCCCCACTCTGCCATGTGCTCCCATGACTACCATGGGCTGCCGCTGAGCACAGCAGCATGTTTGACAAGTCTGCGTGCCTCTCCTTTAAGACATTGCTCTTGTTCTCCTTTGTTGATAAGGAGTTCTCCACTTCATTCACCAGTGTTATCTCACTATAGCAGCTATGACAATGATCAGAGGAGTGTGTTTTCTTCCCAACACTCTTATCGTGTTAGAGCATGTGTCTTATCACAGACATCAACCACAACATGACCATCACCCTCTTTGGCTGTGTCCAGACTCAGGGGTTTTTTCGAAAAAACTTCACCTGCGTCTAGACTGCAGCCGCGTTCTTTCGAAATTAAATCGAAAGAACACGTATTTTCTTTCGATGGCGGTAAACCTCATTTCATGAGGAAGAACGACTTTTTTTGAAAGTGCTCTTTCGAAAAAAGGCGTTCTTGAATGCCAACAGGGCTTTTTAGAAAAAGAGCATCCAGACTCACTCGCTGCTTTCTTTCGAAAAAGCAGCTTGCTTTTTCGAAAGTACTGCTTGCAGTCTAGACGTTCTTTTTCAAAAGAGGCTTTTTCGAAAGATACTTTTGAAAAAGCCTCTTTCGAAAGAGGCTTGCAGTCTAGACATTGCCTTTGTTACCAAGATTGGTCTTACCACTCGCATTACTCCCCTCATTGGTCCCAGGGTCGCTATTGGGCACCTCTATGGGACCGACCAATTGCACTATCAATGCCAGCTCCTAGATCCATATCCATCTCTCACGCTCGTAGCTCTCCTTACCCAACTGAGGACATTGACACAGACGATGGCCAAATTACTGAGGACACAAAACCAGAACAACCTGATGTCTCTCCAATTGACATGTCCTCTTCCTCACCAGACGAGGCTGTCATTTCAGATGACCTGAAACAATTTCAGGATCTATTCAAAAGAGTCACCAGCAGTCAGGAAGTTGTATTATCAGATGTAAACTCCTAAAGAACCTTCAGCCGACCTCAAAATCAAGGATCGCCCTTCAGATCATAGAATCATAGAATCACAGGACTGGAAGAGACCTCAAGAGGTCATCGAGTCCAGCCCCCCCGCCCTCAAGACAGGACCAAGCTCTGTCTCCTCCATCCCTGACAGATGTCTATCTAACCTGTTCTTAAATATCTCCAGAGAGGGAGATTCCACCACCTCCCTTGGCAATTTATTCCAATATTTGACCCCCCTGACAGTTAGGAATTTTTTCCTAATGTCCAATCTAAACCTCCCTTGCTGCACTTTAAGCCCATTACTCCTTGTCCTGTCCTCAGAAACCAAGAGGAACACATTTTCTCCTTCCTCCTTGTGACACCCATTTAGATATTTGAAAACCGCTATCGTGTCCCCCCTTAATCTTCTTTTTTCCAAACTAAACAAGCCCAGTTCATGAAGCCTGGCTTCATAGGTCATGTTCTCTAGACCTTTAATCATTCTTGTCGCTCTTCTCTGTACCCTTTCCAATTTCTCCACATCTTTCTTGAAATGTGGCGCCCAGAACTGGACACAGTACTCCAGCTGAGGCCTAACTAGTGCAGAGTAGAGCGGCAGAATGACTTCACAAGTTTTGCTTACAACACACCTGTTGATACAACCTAGAATCATATTTGCTTTTTTTGCAGCAGCATCACACTGTTGACTCATATTCAACTTGTGGTCCACTATGACCCCTAGATCCCAAAGCAATCATGGAAGCAGCAGATGAGGTCTGGCAGACACCAGCCTCAACCCCTTCAGCGAACAAGAGGGCCGATAGAAAATATTTTGTTCCATCCAAGGGCATGGACTTCTTATTTCTATACCATAGCCAAATTCGTTAGTAGTGGACGTGACATAGCACAGAGCCAAAAAAACCCCAATATAAATCAACAGGAAAAAGAACATAATCATCTGGACATATTTGGCTGGAAAATGTGTTTCTCATCCATACTACAACTCAGAATAGCCAACTATACTGTGTTACTCGCTAACCATAATTTTGACAACTACATAAAACTAACCGAGCTTATGCAGCACCTCCTGCATGACAAAAGACCAGTCCTGAAATCAATAGTTCAAGAGGGTTATATTACATCATGTACAGCCCTCCATATGGCACTTGACTCAGCTGATACAGCTGCAATAGCAATGGCGACTTCCATTGTCGTGAGGCGCTCATCATGGCTCCAAATGGCAGGAGTACCAAAGGACTTTCAAATACAACTTAGATGGGGCTACTATAAGGTGGGTGCATAACTGTCTGGATAGCCATTCTCTGAGAGTAGTTATTAATGATTACGTCATCCTGGAAGGGCATAATTGGGGTTCCACAGGGATCTGTTTTGGAACCGGTTCTGTTCAATATCTTCCTCTGCAGTTCAAATGATGGCATAGAGAGTATGCTTATTAAGTTTGCAGATGATACAAAGCTGGGAAGGGTTGCAACTGCTTTAGAGGATAGAGTCATAATTCAAAATTATCTAGACAAACTGGAGAAATGTTCTGAGGTAAATAAGATGAAGTTTATTGAGGACAAATGCAAAGTATCCACTTAGGAAAGAACAATCCATTTCACACGTATAGAATGGGAAGGACTGTCTAGGAAGGAGCACTGCAGAAAGGGATTTAGGGGTCATAGTGGACCACAAGCTAAACATGAGTCAACAGTGTGACGCTGTTGCAAAA